CTGGGTCTCAGGTAATCATCGAGAGACTTGAAAGTCGCGATGGCGTGAATTGAAACCATTATGTTTCTATAGGACTTGGGTATAGACTCGTCATCAGCCACGAGCCTGAGCCGAATCTGCTTCGCGAGCATGGACGCAGCACTACTGCGATTGCCATCAAAGGTATTTTGGTGGACAGTGATGACCTCGAAATGCTCAGATCTACTAAGCAAATCTTGAAGTTTGTGAACCATGACACTGAAGGGAGTTGCAGGTGAATCGGCAGTGGCGGTCTTGGGCTTGGACTTGACGCTGTAGCCCATGAAGACCTGCAAGAAGTCCGCCTGGGCAGTGCGGGCTAAATCCTCATCGGGATTGCTGAAAACTTCCAAAAGCACTCTTACGAGTCCAGAAGCCAGAAGCTCTGCGCTGGTGACACTTTCGAGGACGTCGGCGTCAAAGGACGAGGCCAGCTTCTTGAACAACTCTATGCCGTTTTCAGGCGAAAGATTACCTGCCGATCTGTTGAGGTAGAAGGATTCAATTTCTCCAGCAAGATCAGATAGATTGGTGAGAATCCCAGTCGCCTTCTTCTTCATGGCCTTGCCGTGCTTCTCGGTCTCGTGACTCTCCAAGAACTTCTTGGCCACCTCACGAATCCTGCTTCGCATCGATGGAACGTCTGACAGAAAGTGTTGAGGCGGCCCGTCGAGCGACATTGTTGAGCCGCGTGAGCTAACCGGCGACCCAGAAATGTCGTCTGGATGGGGCTCGTTCTCATTGTCCTCTTCATTTTCCTCGTCGTCCGACTCTTCGTGTTCTTCATCGTCTTCAGACTCTTCATTGTCTGAAGATTGATCACCAGAATCTGCTGCGGCCTGCTGCTCTGTGTTGTGGGACTCCTGTGAGTCGGCCGGCTCTGGCGCTGGGGGCGGCGTGTGCTCCTCGATGGCTAATTTGGTGATTTCCGAAATCACACCTTCACGGTAGAGCTGATACCGGTAAACATCTTCCAAGCGACTGAGAAGGAGTTCTGTGGCTTGGAGTGCCAGCATAACCAGTGAGGGATGGTCCTGTTGAGACAGGATCGAAGCCAGGAAGGAAGCATAAGACACTGTCTTCAGCGCTTCGCTAAGAATCTTCTCGTCGAGGTTTGAAAGCATCTTTAGCTGGGCTGTGAGCACCTTTTGACGAACGTTGAGGTTGACCGTGCTCGAAAAAGCGTCGGTCAAGGTCGGGAAAAGAATAAGAGCAAAGCGGCGAACTTCGGACTTGCAGCTGTCGAGCAGTTCGATTCTCTTATCGTTTGGTGACTTGCGCGTCTTCCCAGCTGCCGTGGAGGAAGGAGTGATGGGTTCTGTCGCGTTCATCTCCACGAAGTCGCCATATGAAGGGTCAGCGTTGCGAGGCAGGCTAGGTAGCAGCTCGCAAATGACATTGAGCGTCTCGATAATCTGCTCCTTTGGTCGATGGATCAGGGCCTGCATGATGACAACACTGTCCAACTTGGAGGCAACGTCTTCTGTACCGCTGGGCGGAGAAACACCGGTAAGGATTTGATAAAGTGTCTCCACGATGTTGAGCTTGAACAAGTCCGCCGAAAGTTGGGGGCTAGCACGAGCCGTAAAGGCCAGCACTCGCAGGAATTGCGTGTGGATATCAGCGCCAATGAGATTAGTGGTGCCAGGCACAAGCAGCCTCAACACAGCCTTCAACAGGTCGACACTGACGAGTTCTTCCAGCTTTGCAGACTGGTACTTGAAGCTCTCCACAATGCCAGAGACACAGATCGAAGCCTTTTCGACCACTCGCTGGTCGCTGCTGCCCAAGACATTGAGAAGTGTGGGCATGACATCTCGAATGACCGGGAAGGAATCCTCAGGAATGTTTCGACAGCAATTTGCAGCGGTAGTGACGGCTGTTCTTTGTGTGCTTGTTGCGAAGAAATCCAAGTAAGATAAGCAGGCGGTCAAGCCACCTTCTCGGACAATGCTGGACGGATACTCTGCAGAGATCTTTTCGAGGGTGCTCAGGGCTTGCTCGGCAAGGTCGATGAAGGAAATCTCGAGCAGCTTTTGGCAGAGCACAGGGACAGCCCCTCCGTAAACAACGTTGGCCACACTGGCGGGCAATGCCTCCATCAAATTTGCCAGGCAACGGCAGGCGAGCAGCATGAGTTCGGGATTCTCTTCGCCCGTAATCTCGTTGGGTTGCATCAGAGTCACCAATTCCTTGACGAAGGCATCAGGTGAAAAGTGACCTGACAAGTTATCCTCGTTGGAAACCAACAAGATTTCAGACAGCTCTTGCAGGGCGATCAGCTGCACTGATGGGTCATCTTTTTGACGCAGGCTGTTGAGAAGATCTCGCAGGCGGGACGAAATACCCGTCATCATGCCTGTCAAGGCCCGCAAGGTACTTGACAAGCCACCGGGACCTCCAGGACCTCCGAATCCCCCAAAGGGATCATCGTCTACGTCGTCATCGTATCGCTGACCCTCGTCGTCGTCATCGTTTTCGTCACTATCATCGTCGTCTTGATGTTCGGGAGGAGGCGGTGGGGGCGGGAGAGGAAGAGACTCCTTTTCAGTATCATCTGTGCCCGTCATTGCGGTGTCGGGATCCGCATTGTTTGCGGCATTCCGTTTCGTCTTGCGGGAGGAGCTGGATGTGTTGGCGGAAGGATCTGCTTATGCCGAATCAGTATCATGCTTCAGAGTGTCAAACTAGAGGCAACTGGGGGTTACCTAGGGTGCCGGTGGCAGTCCTCTTGCTTCGGCTGCTACTGGATTTGCGGCTTGAAGATGCCGAGGGTGCGGTGTTCTCTGATGCGTTCGCAGGATCGGCGGAAATGCTAACAAGCACAGTCAGCTTTGAATAATGTACAGCTCCGGCTCATGGGATTCCTTACTCTGGGCTCGACATGGCGACGGTAGACTTGCCCTTTCTCTTGGAGCGAGGCGGGACAGGCGGTTGAGTAGGGAGCTGAGGCGGTGGAACAGCTTCGCCTACCTTTTGACGCTTTGATCGCCTGGAGGAAGCTGATGCAGACTGTTGTGGTCCAGGAGTAGGGCTGGTAGCTTGTGTTGAAGCCTTTCGTTTCCGCGAGGCTGAGGTGGGAGGGTTTGGAGGACTGGAGCTCGGTGGTGCAGGGGCGGCCGCTGCGGGATCGGGGCTTGCAGCGGGTTGTGTCGATGAAGCCGCGAGACTCGCCGCTTGCCGGGCAGAAGATCTGGTAATTCTGGGAGACATGAGTGACTGGTTCTTAGGAGGCATGCCGACCGAAGAACGGAAGGCGAGAAAATAAAGGTAAGGATCAGGTCAAATGTGCCGAGGCCAAGATGTCGGTGGCCTCGTGTGTGTCCGCAACGAACGTCAGATGTGTTTGTGGTGTGTGTGGTGTGTGACGGTGTAGTGGATGTGGATGTACAGTGTACTAGACACAACGAGAGAGGTAAAGCATGCAATGAATTGCTGGGGTGGTGGAGGGAGGGGTCTGCTAGCACTGGCTCGAAGCTGACCAAGCGGCAGGGACGAGAGTAAGGAAGTGAAGGAGAAAAAAGGTATCGGGTCGAGGAAGACGAAGTGTCGAGGAGATAATAATCAAGACTCGATGAAGAGAGGATGAAGGAGCGGTGCGATGCAGCCGTGTTTCAATGGTTGGAAAGCAGGCGTCTCTCTGTGTCTTTTTTTTTTCCCTGAGGTGCTCTAGAGGTACGGTGCGGTGGTGCCTGGCAGGGTGTGTACGGTGCGGTTGCGGTGTAGTGAGGTAGGGCGGTAGGTATAGTGACCAGACCCGCTTAAGTTCGAGATCCCGCCGTTCGGGTACCAAAGGTGAGGTAGCTTCAGGCAGAGGAAGAGGAGAACGAAGGTGAGGCGGATCCTGAAGTCGAAAAAGTGCCCTTTTTCGTGCCTTTTTTGGACTTCGAGGATCAAGAGAGACAAGCGAAGGAGATGAAGGTGAAAGAAGGAGCAGCGAGGCAGAGGTAGGTAGACCAGACCGAGAGAAGGCGGCAGGCAGGCACGAGACAAGTTGGCTGTCGCCGGCAACTACCCCACGGTACCTGGACGTTGTTCCTGCCGCTCCTGCCTCTCTGCCTCGCCTCTGCTCCTTCTCTTGCTCTCTCTCACAGGAATATTCTGCGCACCTGTCGCCCGATGTTGATTCTTGCTGCTTTCTCTTCTCTTGTATGTCCTCTTCTTCCTCTTGTTCTCGTTCCTCTTCACTCTCGAGTCTCTGTGTCTCGCTCTCATACACACACGAACCACACACACGCACGCTCTGCCTCTTTCGACTCTCTCTTTTGTCTCCGCAGAGCATAAAACAATGTATTGGGGTTCGAAACGAAACACGACGAATACGGGTGAAATGACAACCACCTACCGCTGGGAAGACGAGGTCGAAGCTAGGGTGGGCGAGCCCGAACCGGAAGACGATGTCGTCGGCGTAGACGGGAGGCGCGCGGGGGGATCGTGGTCGACTACCGATCTGGAGCGCTGGTTTGCAGAGGCTATTCGTTCTGCCATGGATTACGCCATGAGGCAGGACAGCTCGAGGGTTGCTGGCGATTAGGCGTTGTGGTGTCTTGATGTTATCAGCGCCGTCGGGAAATTGCCAAAAGATACGATGGCGTTGCGAGGTTGGTCCGAATCAACGGATCAGACAAGACGATCTCGTTGCGTTGAAAGTCATCGATATTGATGGCCTGGTCTATCCTTTGAATCGCTTATCGTCGTATCGTTGTCGTCGTCGTCGTCGTTGTCGTCGCAGGAGAACAGATTCGATGGCGATGTTGAAGGTTGGGGAGATGTATGGATGGGGTTTGGAACCAGACGAGGTTATGCAGCGCCAAAGCAGCACGGGAGAGGAAGAAGGTGTCGGGTCTGACTGATGGATGCCCTGGGCCGTGGCCGGCGAACGGGACAGACACACCACCCGTTGCTGCTAACAGTTTAACAAGCACCACGCCGCACGCCGCACGCCGCACGCCACACGCACCACCACCACGCACAACACACACATGCTCCAAGCGGCTCTGATATCGCTGTTCCAGTCCACTTTTTGCTCCAAACGTAGCCACTGGGGGGATACGGAGTATTGGGCCCGCCAACTCAACATGAGCAGCCACGAGGGGGGAATCCCTGCGGTAAGGCCCATGCTTATGATGCTGCGGATACAGACGTAGGTATTGCGTTCCCCATTCTCGATACCTTACCTGTGATACTAATCAATACGGGCAGAACTACGCCATGGAACGGTCCCTCTCCTGTCACGTCTACCGTCTGGCTCCGTCCCAACCTCGAACCGCGCCAACGCCAACGCCAACCATGGACGTGCCGTCGTCCGTCACCCGTCACAAGCCTCCCTATTCCATCCCAGCCTACTAGGTGTTGTCTTCAAATGCTCAGTCCGTACAGCGTCACTGTAGTAGTGTCTGACCGTGCTGGAACCACGTTTGGCAGCTCGACCCCGCCCTACCATCACTGTCTATCCCCAGTCTTTCAGGTGCTGACCTTGCACTAAGGTACTTACAGCCAAAACAGTTTTCCATCGCATTAAAGCCGCTTGTCATTACGGAGCCATGTTTCCGTTTACGCATCCACACCTTGCCCAGTGCGCTCCAGATTCTGACGGAGCTGATTCAAGGTTGGGTGGGGAGACGGCATTCCTACCTTTTCTTGCGCCATCAGGGTCGACCAATACTCCAATTTCTAAGCAGCCGAGTCAAACGAGTCAACAAAAACACCTCACGGAATTTCGATAACATGCAATATAGGCTTTTCTCGCATCCACAGCGCTGGAGATTCCGCATTAATCACTTCTTCTCCAGCCAAGTAGGTATCATGCAGGACCCGCTCGTCTATGCCTTCAAGCTATCCTTGCCTCCCTCGAATTCACCAAACTCGTACTCATCCGGGTACTTGTCTAGGTGCTCACGTAGCTGTGCCATTTGCTGCTTCAGATCCGGCGTCAGTTCCTCATAAACGTCTTCGAACATGCCTCGGATTGGCGGCTTCTTCTCCATCTCGGCCTCTTTGAACGCCTTCAGCACCTCCCTTCTAGTCGAGTCTCTGCACTCCTTTTCCTTGGCCTCATCCCACATGCCTTTGGCCTCCATGTACTTGCGCAGACGCGTAATGGGGTTGTCCCGCCTCTTCCAGTCCTCAACCTCGACTCTAGCACGGTAGGCAAACGAGTCATCCGACGTGCTGTGGTGGCTCACCCTGTAAGTCATGGCCTCGATCAAGACGGGGCGGCCCCCATTCTCGAGCGCCATTTCACGGGCCCTCTTCGTAGCCTCTCTGACAGCCCAGATATCGTTACCATCTACTCTGATGGTGTCGATGCCGTACCCCAGGCCACGGCTGGCGATTCCGTCACCTCTGTACTGTTCTAATGTCGGCGTGGAGATAGCATAGCCGTTGTTTCGGCAGATGAAGATTACAGGACATGACCTTGTAGCCGCGATGTTGAGGGCGGCATGAAAGTCTCCCTCACTCGCCGCACCCTCGCCAAAGTAGGCTGCAACGACTCTCGGGGGTATCGACTGATCTTGCATCCGCTGCATCTTCAAAGCGTATGCCGCTCCTGAAGCTTGCGGAAGCTGCGTTGCCAACGGCGACGAGATGGTATGCTGTACGAGCAACATGTTAGCCTATGCACCCTCCAATGCCCTCCAGAGGTGCCGTCACGGTCATGGGAACCTACAATATTCAGCTCCTTGCTACCATAGTGCACCGGCATGTTCCTCCCCCTACCGGGATCTTTCGAATTGGCAAAGAGCTGGTTCATGAAATCCGCCGTAGTGAAGCCCCGTTGCTTAAATACTCCCTGCTCGCGATACTGGCAGAAGATGACATCCTCGGGCGTCAGCACACTCGCGGAGCCGACGCTCAGCGCCTCTTCGCCCGCCGAGACCATATAGAAGCTCAGCCTGCCCTGGCGCTGGGCGTCGAACATGATCAGGTCCATGACGGAGATGAAGACCATGTCCTTATAGAGCTTGACGATCTGCGCCTCGTCGAGGTCCGGGACGAAGGCGTCGTCAACAATGGCACCGTTTTGGTCCACGACGCGGTAGGTCGGCACGGCGGGGTAGTCACCCGGCGTCTCGAACTTGAGGCTGCTCGTGAAGGCGCTCTTTACGGCGCCGGGGAAGGAGACGTGATTCGCGTTTGGCCTTTGGGAAAGGCTACTTGCTGCTCGTCTGGTTTGAGATGTTGCTGCTGCCGCCGCTGCTCCTGCTGTCGGTGTTGATGTCGTCTTTGGAAGACCGCTTCCGGCTCGGGGGAGGACCAGCCCGCCGAGGGGTGCCCGTCGAAGTATCTTGGAGGTCCTCATCTCTGCTGCTTTTCCTTCTTTGATCTTTGCTCTAAAGAAAGTCAATTGATTGAAAGGAGATGATCACAAGGCCTTGCTCAATTACACGAGAACTTCAGAGACGAAAGGGAAAGGAGTTGAGAGGGCCAGAGTGCCAAAGGGACTGAGGGAGAATGCCGAGACAGCAGCTATCCCGAGGAAGACCGTCTATCGTCGGCCGAAGTTGCGACGTCATGGCTGAGCCGATGTAAGCCGGTACCGATAAGGCAAGTTAGCAGTGGTGACTTCCCCCAAACCCCCCTGAAAGCCGTTACTGAGCTTTCCATCGTTTCCCCGCGCCCCGCGTGGATTCCTATCGATAAGAGAAACCGAACCTTGGACAGGGGTGCTTGTGTCTTGGGACCATGACCGAGCAGCCAGCCCATCGACAAGGTTATGGTTTGCTCCGTGCTGGCGTCTAGGGACTGTTTTGTTCCCCCGTAACCGAATCAGAAGCCAACCTGTGACTTTTGTTTCTCTCGCGACGGTTTAATACCGCATGAATTTATGGACCGATTTGATATTGGGCTATTGCCGGTGATTTTTTTTCTCTCTCCCTTATCTTGGCTGTAAGTTACGGTCTCTACGTTGACTTTGTCTAACAATGTAGATAAAGTCAGTACTAGACGAATCCATGTTTATGGACGGTGGTTTGCCTGTGCTAACCGATGTTTGGCGAGAAAGTTATCGATGACTGATTTATACAATACAGCTCCTTCGTATATGTGTATTGAGGGTTTTAGTTACTCCGCGCTAATCCGAAATACCAAGTCATGGTTATCTAATGCGACAACACTTCCCAAGAGCCTTGATCAAGTAAGTCTCGTTCTTGAACTGCGGGTTCCCTCTTGAGTTGGAAAGAGCTAACTAACGCCGGGTCTCTAAGCCGATTCTAACCTCATCAATTCAACTTTAGAAACAATCACGAGGACAATTTGAGTCGCGGAGAACTCATCCATAGGATCAACGTGTTTAACACTATAGCTCGGTTTGATTTTTCTTCTAGAGCATCATCTCCTGAATCAATTCACTGCACAGCATGTGCCTGGTTGCCAAACTGCATCAAAATGGATTGAACGTTGAATTGGCCCTCATCCAGGGCAATAACTACTTCTCGCTTCACGACAGAAGATCGTAGTACTAGTAGGTATACCGGAAGTCCTTATTCTCCCCATCCGTCTTATCCTCCCTCTCCTGCTCGAGACCAGCCTGCAACCTATCCTCAGGCACCCCAAACTTGGAATTGCGCCGCTTGTTCTCCGCCACGCAGAGCAGGTAGTACACGAGCCCGGACGCGGCCATGAGCGCAAAAGCAAACATCATGGCGCTGATGCCGAGCGGGTACCGCGGCGCCTGGCTCGACAAGAACAGCTGGGGTCCGACAATGTTGCCGACGGCGTAGCACACGGCCACCGTGACGCCCATGAAGCTCTTTTTCGTAGCACCCGCCGTGTTGGACGAGTTGAGGCTCAGCATAAAGACCCACGGGACGTTGTAGAAGCCCATGATGTACACGCACGCCAGGCTGGCGTTTCTGTTCAGGTTGATGTCGAGCGTGTGCACCATCACCGCCCCGACGAGCCCGACGAGCGCGGAGAATATCCAGAACAGGCAGCGCAGGTTCTGCACGAACATGGATATCGTGGTGAGGACGACCCCGGCGACCATGGCGACCGCGGCCTGCGGCGTGGCCATGAGGACGGTCTTGGTCTGGCTGAAGCTGTAGCCCGAGATGATGAGCGGGTTGAAGTTTGTGATGCCCGCGTTGGCGACGGCGTAGCCGATGGCGCAGGCCCAGACGCACCAGCACTTCGGGTCCTTGACGGCCTCGAGGATCTGCTGCGCGTCGAATTTCTTCTTGACGTCGACGCCCGTCTGGTTCTCGGCGAGGCGGGCGACGACTTGTTTCTTCTCCCGCTCGTCAAAGAACCATGCCTTTTGAGGGGAATCGGGCAGCGCGAAGAGAACCACGAAGCCGACGAGGACGGTGACGGCGCCGTAGATGATGAAGATGTACTTCCACGTCGACAAGCTCCCCTTGATATTTCCGATGGCGTATGAGAGGATACCGCCAAACACGCCGGCGAAAGTATTATGCCACAGTGCCGTCCGCAGGGGCTGCTCTTCGCGGCGGTACCACGTGGCGTTGAGGACGAGCATGCATGGCAACAAGGCGGCCTCGAAGATGCCGAGCAGGACGCGGATGGCGGCGAGGCCGGCGAAGTTGTGGCAGGCGGACATGAGGCAGATGCAGGCGCCCCAGAGGACGAGGCAGGCGCCGATGAATTTTCCGATGGGGAGCTTGGTGATGAGGTAGAGGGCCGGGATTTCCATGGCCAGATAACCAAAGTAGAAGACAGAGCCGAGCCAGGAGTATTCCTGCCCCTTGAGGTTCGCGTCTTGTCGAAGGCCAAAGATTGCGGCGAAGCCTAGGGCGTTCTATATCTCGGTGACATGGTTAGTTAATGATAGTTCACGGGAGAAGAAAGGAGAGGAGAGGAGAGGGTTTTCGGGAGGCTTGCCTTGTCAAGGAACGCGAGGGTCATGCTGATTACGGCGCAGGGGAGGACGACGAGGTCCGTCTTCAACAGGATGCGCCTGTTTTGCGCGGGCGTCGGCGCCAGGGTCTCGTCATACTGGGAGGTTCCATCTTGTACGTCTTTGACATTCGTCTGCTCGGTTGCGTCGTGGTCGACGATGGCTGATTTGGGTTCCATCATGGGAAATGGAAGCGTGGTGGAAACTACTTGGTAACGTAGGTGGGTAAGTACGGAACCGTGTAAGTCGGAGCTTATGTGCTTGTAGGCAAACTCCCAATCAATGAGATAATTCAGTCAGACTCATTCAAGAGCTAGCTCTCTTCTTCTCAAAAAACCAAGAAAGAAGAAGTCCAAGTCCGAGATCAGGGCCTCAAGACCAAGCATGCTTCCCTGAGTCGGCGGCGGAACCGCAGGTATTTCAATGGCTCAACTCCACATCCCATGTCCCTGACTTTTCGATATCAATGAGATCTCTGCCGGATAACACCAATATCGTTGTTCGATATGGGGACGGGGCAGAATAGAACCTGCGATTGACGTTATCATTCTGGGGTATCACGCAATGGGAGTGTGGAGCTTCTGTTCGGTCCCCACCGAGATCATTGATGTCGAGATATCGGTGCAGTCCGAGGTGTTGTGCTGACTCGTGCTCTGCCGGTCCTCACACTGTTGAGATCAGCGTTCAAGTAATACCGCAGTAAACGCCGTGTTAGCTAATAATGGTATGGCATTTGTGCCAATATGTGACAAGGCAAGGCTAGTGATGAAGAGCCTTTTCTGATCATTATCTTGTTATCAAATAGAAAGTTTCCGAGCAAAATGCCGAAGACTACGCGAGCTCAGGTTAGATGTCATCCAAGGCAGATGATGCTCGTTCCTCGAACCGAAACGTTGGTTGTGCCTGCTTCCAATTTGAAGGAAACCTGGCTTGAATTCAGACACCTAGATATTGGATCAGGTTTCTTTGGCAAATTACAGTGTATTCCAATGTGCATTTGGTCATTCCAGAACATAGGGTGCTCATTGGTAAATCAATTGGTATTTGTGAGACTCTCGAAATGATTCTAAAAAAGACTCCGCGAAGACTCAAAGCTTTGACTTTAGTTTATCAAGAACACTCAGATCCCGAGCCTGCTCAAGTTCGGCCAGAATCACTTCCCTCGACCTCGCAGTATCCCGCTCTACCTCAGCCGCGTACAGCTTTTGAATCACGTCCGTCAAAGCCCCCCTCTTCCCGTCTCCAATCACCCGCCCATCAACCTCCGTAACATGAATCTGCGACGGGAACGTCCCCGTACAGAAAGCCTCGTCGGCCCCGTACACCTCCGTCAGCGCGAAATCGAGCTCCCGCACCGTGATACCCGCTGCCCGACAGACATCAATGGTCTTTTGCCGCGTGATGCCCATCATCTGATTATCCTTTGTCGGCGCCCACACCTCGTCGCCGCGGACGATGAAGAAATTTACCGAGTTGCACGTCTTGACGAAGCCGTTGAGGTCCAGCATGAGCGCTTCGTCGACGCCCATAAAGTTGGCGTGCACGCACGCCTGCACGTCGGTCGCCTTGGAGATGTGGTTCCACTGCTCGTCCTTGACGTCGGGCGGGCCGCGCCGAACCCAGGTCGTTCCCAGGCGTAGGCCGCGCGACTTGGCTGTCGGATCTACGGCCTTGATCTCGGGGATGATGACGATGAGCGGCAGGCCGATGTTGACGTGCGGGTTCTGGTAGGGTGTTGACTTTAGGCCTCTGCTGACGACCAGACGTATGTGGACGTGAGGCTCGTTTCCCATGTCGTTTGCGTCCAAGGTCTGGTGAAGAAGTGACAGGAGGTCTCCTTTTGTCAGGCCCAAGTCCATGTACATTGCCTTTGCAGACTGGAAGAGCCGATTAATGTGCTCCTTGGCGAATTGGACTCGGCCTCTTACAGCACGAATGCCTTCCTACAATGAGAAGCATCAGATCAGCCTTTGGACTTTTCTATGCCGGCTTGACCCCTTGCTTACCCAGATTCCATCGCCTATGAGGAAGTTGGAGTCAAAGACCGAGACTGTTGCTTGCTCTCTGGGGACTAGACGGAATTCGCCGGTGACGCCGTCGCGTATGCCGACCTTGTATTGAGAGTCAGTATCGTGATTTGATGAAGAATTTCAAGACGAATATATGTCTTACCAATATAGAAGCATTTCTGGAGTTCAGGACAGCCGTGTGGCTTGTGGCCGGTTGAGGCTTTGGCTGAGATTTGGACATGATGTTGGCGATGCGCTGTGCTCCTTGATTCCGTGTAAGTCGTAGAACGTCTGTTTAGAAGTCAAGTCTCGAATAAATACCACGCTTCTACAGAATTAAGAACCCCGATTTTGTTTTGCAAGGACCTTGGCCAAGAAAATGCTCAAAAGATGCCCCAGTGCTTATCCCAATGAGTAGATAGTCTTGACCGGCACTGAGCTCGGCCAGGGCCGAAACTATGGTGACATTGCGCAAGCCAGTCTCCACTTATCATCGGTTCAGTCCGAGATCACCTCGGTCTTTGGGTATTAGCTTCAACCAATGCAATGGAAATGAGGCGTCAAATCGATATCAATGATCCGATGTTGAGCTCTAGTTTGACATACGGCGCTCAATTGATTAACTGAGGCTGTGCGATGGCGTTAGCTTAGCAAGTGTCGATAGCCACCGGTCACTCAACTTACACAAATGGCTGTTGCAGGGAAGGCTTGGTGTTGCCAGCAATCATTGTGACGATGTATCATTTAACCCAAAGTTCCCTATTCTGTTGGACTGGAACTCGTCCATGAAAGTATCAAACCAAGCAGTGAGACCTTCATCTAAACCCAGTTGAGCGTTGTCAAAATACCCCGTGACTTGGTTCATGTACGTTTCCAATTCGTCGCCTTGAAAGAAAATATTGGACTGCGTGTTGTCTGCACCAAGAAGACCAAGTGCACTTGACGCGTTCACAGGAGCTACTGGCGAGGCATCTGTAGGTTCAGTTTGAGTAATTGGCGGCTCCCACGTCGTTGGGCCATATACTTTGATTCTTGCTGCCTGGAGAAGATCGCGATACTTCAGCAGGCCTTCTTCTTTCATCCAGGCAGTTCCGCGTTCGATGAGATCCATGCATAATGCCACATTGCTTCCATGGGAGTAGAGAAGAGGGGAATCTGGACTTTGATTCATCGCTTTCACGTGCCTAGTAGCTTATGGTCAGTTCGTAATCTTGAAAGGAATGCCAATTGGGTCTGGTGAGATAAGAAGCTTACCAGTCACAGTACAAGCCTGCCAGTCCTACCATGAGGATCGAATGCACTTGCCGTATGCAGCGGCAAACGGCAGTGATTCCATACTGAAAGTCCAGCTTCTGCCACTGCTGAACAGTTCCAGACACGGCCCGAGAGCATATCTCAGCCATTTCTTTGGAAGGAATCATGAAAGTGGGAGATGGTCGATACATGAGTAGCAGGAGAAGTCCATATTCAATCTTCATCTCGGAGTACTCGCGCGTTCCTTTGAAGTCTAGGGCTTCCAATTCTCGTTTCCAGCTCTCTAATTCTTGCTGGATTTTCTCAACTTCGTTGCATATTTCCTGAAATGTGGTTCTTGATGCTCGCCCATCAGGGCCTCTGGCGATGTAGATGGATTCAAGGACACGCCCACCGATCTGACGTAGTTTCATCAGATGATTGAAAAGCTTCACATTGAGTTTCTGGAACGAGGGCGCCGCACGACCCTCTTGATCTGTGAGCTCGTCGAGAGTACTGGCGGATGGCTTGGGTGCATCTATAGCATGCTCTCTGACCGAGAGTACCCTGCCTGTTATGACCGCTACCTGTCTTTCCAGTGCGTAGACACACCACCACGTCCGGTTCCGGATCTCCCGGTCATCAGAACTTAGGTCGCCCGGTGTGACGGAACGTCGGTGAAGGCCCATCTCTATGGCTGTTGACATGGTATATCGACTCATCTGCCAAACGTCATCGCCGTGATTTCTAACGTTTGATCCTAACATCCATAAGCACAGCAAGATCACGGAGTGAAGGCCTTGCAGATCTCTCGGGTGATCGTGTATGTTCAAAAAGAATTGTAGGCCTGTCTGGAAGTAGTCTGTTGGGCTGTTCAAGTCCATCATCCGTCGGTACTCCTGGGCTTCTGTGCAAGTTGCTGAAGCGAGGGCTAGCACCATGAGAACCAGAAACTTTTGATACAATGTGCATCTGGCTGGATCCTCGTAGATTCTTGCAAGACTACTCCTCAAGAAGGGAAGAGATATGAACGGCCACCATGGATGTATGCGACTAATGTATGTTGTCAGGAGAAATCTTGCGACTGGCTGCGGCGGGAGTGCAGCGTTGTTTCGGACGAGTTCGTGATCGTGACTGGAGGATTCTTGGCGACCATAGTGCGCGACTGATGACGATCCCGACAGGTTAATCTGCTTGAAGAAAATGCGAGCAAAGGTCGAGCCAGTGGCACTGCCCACTAAAGGGAAGAAACATAGATCAACATTTTTTTGCATTGAAACACCAGCTCATGGCCTTGAGGAGCCATACTTACTGTATATTCTCTCTGAGTAGCCGCTCGGCCTCCCAATTGCAAGAACACCAATCTCCTCGGCCTCTTTGCGAACATCATCGAACTGGCCAGGTCCAGCTATCGGACCAGTCTGGCTTGCTGTGGCTTCAGAAACACCGTCGAGTCTGGCCTGAAGCTCGATGATTCGGTCTTGAAGGCTTTTGACAGCAGCGTACGTGTAAGTCACACGGTCAGTAATATTGCACTGCTCATTTTGCTTATGGCAAGTTGAGCATCGTGGAACCTGTAAATCACACTTGAACATGTCAGTAACCTAGACTCCTCCTTATTAGAAGGGTGACTACCTACCTTGACTTTCCTTGCATGGCAACGGCTACATGCCTTGGATACCGTCGGTGGAAATCGCGATTCCCACGTTGGATCCATCATTTGTGGATTGAGGATTTGTCCGTGTTGCTGCTGGCTCTGTAGCGTACCAGAGTGTATAGTTCTCTGTCTCGGGGGTGTCCGAGTCTAGGGTAGGTGGACTTCGGGAGACAGTAAAAGGAACAGTGCGTGGAACTGTGTCACTCAGCTGTGGGTGGAAGTCGGAGATTCTTATCGATAGATCGCCCCACTTGCCGTTACTGGTGATTTTCCAGGGATGCGGTTTGGTGACCGGTGAATCTCGGTGTAGAGCTCCAGTTTGCTGTGTGTAAGTCTGTCCTGACTTGGATGCCTTCACAGGCAGCTCAGGAAATCACACAGGAGAAACAAAGAGTGCACACTTTTGTTTATTTTCACGCTCTCAATACAATTACTTCGGAAGGAGCGTACCTTCATTTTTTCCTTCCCATGCATACTCACCACAAAAACCTCTTTCACTTCACACACCTCCGCCACTTACTACTCGTCACAATACGCAATCAACAGCCTCCATTGAGAACTTAAGATCCGACTTCATCGCCATCAGCTTTTTTTTTTTTCGTCCCAAATTTACTGAGCCTCGGATACACTTTCCATCAAGAAGTTGATCGAGGAGCCTCAACATGACTCCCGCTGGTTCCATCGCTTTGTTGGTCATCCTGGTCATTGCTCTCATCTGCACTATCATCTGGCTCGCAAAGGACCAGGTTCACACCTTTGTCAAGGCTTTGGCCCATCACCGAGCGGCACATAAGGAGGCTTCGACCACAGCCAATACAGAAGTCACCTCCAACGAGGCCACCGTCTAGGTAAGTCATTTCTTTATTCCATCCGGCAAAGAAATTCACACTCCCATCTGGATATCCTTATTCACGGGCCCTGGTCTTCAAGATGTGGCTTGACTCCTCAATGTCATCGACATAGCGCGCACTAGCCACACCCAATCCCCAAATTCTCCACCAAAATTTATTCCATCCTGGAAGCTCTCCAAGCACCGATCGACTGACTTCATTGCGCGCCGCCCCCAGGTCTCTCCACGCATCCTCGACAAGAACGAGCCATTCCATAGCAATGGCGACCCGACGCGCCCTCCGCTCCTCCTGGAGCGCGCGATCCCTTTCGAACCAGCTCAGCACATCTCCTTCCCCTATCTCCCGCCCTTTCGCAATCGCCTCCCGATCCATCAACACCTCAACCGACCCTTCCGCCGATGGCAAGACAACGCACTTTGGCTTCAAGACTGTCCCCGAGTCTGAGAAGGCCGACCGCGTCGCCGGCGTCTTCCACAGCGTCGCCGACTCTTATGACCGCATGAACGATCTCATGTCCTTTGGCTGGCACAGAATATGGAAGTACGTTGAGTTTCTCTCAACATCTGTCATGCCATCACCACTAACGCTCCTCCCAGGAACCACTTCGTCTCCGGCCTCCAGCCAGGCCTCTCAGCCTCCAACCCACCCACCCCCCAACACATCCTCGACATCGCCGGCGGCACAGGTGACATTGCCTTCCGCATGCTCCACACGGCGCACAACATCAACCACAACCCCGACGTCCGCGTCACAATCTCCGACATCAACCCCTCCATGCTCGCCGTCGGCCGCGACCGTTCCCGATCCCTCCCGGCCTCCCAGCAGGCCGCCATGTCCTGGCTCGAGGCCAATGCCGAGAAGCTCCCCGAGGGCGCCATCAAGGACAACTCCGTCGACCTCTACACCGTCGCCTTCGGCATCCGCAACTTTACAAACATCCCCGCCGCCCTGCGCGAGGCCCACCGCGTGCTCAAGCCCGGCGGTGTCTTCGCCTGCCTCGAGTTCAGCAAGGCAGACGACTACCCGCTTTTCAACGCCATCTACAAGCGGTGGTCCTTTAGCGGCATCCCCCTCATTGGCCAGCTTGTTGCTGGTGACAGGGATAGCTACCAGTACCTCGTCGAGAGTATCGAACGGTTCCCCAGCCAGACGGAGTTCAGGGATATGATCAAGGATGCTGGTTTCGTTATCTCGGGTGAGGGTTATGAGAACTTGACTGGCGGTGTTGCTGCCATTCACAAGGGTATGAAGCCTATTGCGTAAAATGCCGATTCTGGGATAATCCGGGCGTGAGGAAGGAAATTCACAAAGGGAAAAAGGGGTCTGGTGAGCTTTTGAAGCTCTTGTAAACTGTATGTATATGTATCAACACAGGGAAATTCAGTTATCGGCATGGCTGCATAGAAGGCGGGCACCCCCAGATAGATTCTCTACACTAAATGTATAGCAACAAAGGCCGCTGGGCCTGTTTCTTAAGCAACCTTAGAGAAACATGAGGAAACGGCAAGCGCGGCCTTAAGCTCCCAAGTCTGGCTGAACGACTTTAGTGTTCTGGACGGGACACTGCTCAGCTGCGATCTCTTGGATTTCGTGTATGTGAGTCCCCGCAGACGTATCAGTGAAAGCGATCATCGACAACAGCAAAGGCAGCCGCCACGAGCCCTTGATATCTCCCATTGAGACCATCAAAGCCTGACAATTGAGCTCGTGTTGGTAGCATGGCTGCTTACTGCTTATAAGACAACAAGAACGGGTACTCCTTTAAACAAAACCTCCATTCTATCCTTTGGCTGCAATCGCCTGGCAGACTCTCCATCTACAAGGCGACCTTTGTGTCCAAGGCTCGTTGAGCAGCTCGTCCATCGTTATTCCTGTTCAGCTGGGACACTCTCTGTCCATCTTCATATTAAACCGTCCTGTTTTTGGTAATCCAAGGTGATGGATCAGCCCACTCGGATGGCTGCTTCCATCTCGACATCGAAGCGGCGGTAGTGTCGGTGACATCTGCGGTGTTGATGACCTTTGTTAGGGTGACTAGGCTGTGAACTTTGTAGTGCATACATCTATTTCAACCATGTCAAGTGCCCGCACTTATATTCATCACGGCGCCTTCACGATCGGTTCGTCAGTAAATATGAACGGGGAGAGAGCAACGTAGGGGAACAGGCGCTCATATCATCTCAACTTTGCTTCAATACTTTGCGCTTTAAGATGTTATGGCTTATCAAACAAAGTCATTTCGGATTGGGAACATGGTTGCCAAGGATGCATCTGTTGTCGACAATGAGGCCAAGCTCACCCTGGTCCCAGGCAAAAGCTCTGTTAACACTACGATTATATAGATTCAGAATAACAGAATCTGGAATATCAGGCTTCCTCTGCTTGCTGCGAAGATCCAACTCACAAACCTGGACGTCAGCAACGATGGACCAGCCTACGTCATTCACTACACAGCCTTCGTCATAGGCGCATGTATATGCGTCTTCTGCACTGTGATTTCAACCTCCCCTCAAGGAACCTTAGCCCACCATCAGTCCTTTCAATGTCATGCAATTCGGCAAGTCCTCTGATTCGCGCCGTACCCTTTTTCTTGGGGGGACCTGAGGATGTCAGCGTTGCACTGCAGTCTTAACTACCCCCAAGGGGATACAGCCAAGCTTACCTGGCAGACTCCAACAAGCTCCGATTCCATACCGATAGCTGTGCATTTTCACTGCAATCTGAACCCCCCCAAAGGAGATAGAACCCAGCTGACCCCTCGGTTCCCTTCTGCCGCCCTCAAGTCCCTCCTGTAAGCCATCTGTCCATCTTAGGTACTCCGGCCTATGGTACGTAGTTCAGCCCCTTTTCACTGCAACTTTAACTCCCCCAAAGGCAAAGCCGGCCGAGCCTTCCACACAGCCTTGCCCTAGGTAGCCTCTCAACTGCGTCTTATAACTACATGCCATCTATACTACATTTTCATACCAAACAAAATCAATCTCTTGCTTAACATACCAAACCATGGGCTATAACATCTTCGCTTAAGACTGATACCGAGAGCATAGCAACGCTGGGTTGGCACTGGGTTGGGAACTCTCAAAGACTATCAACCTCACAAAGAGGTAGTTTCTACTACATCAAGACTTCCGCGAAAGCCTCAACATTCGGAACCCAAAAAACGTTCCAGGCCTTTCTCCCTCTCGTCTCATAAAAGCACAACCACCTTTTATGCACTTCTCACTGACGAAGGAAAACCCCCCAAACATGGATGAAAAACGGAAACTTGAGTTGGAAAAAAAAGGTCTTTTCCACCTTTCCCCCCCTCAAGTTGTCTCATTAAGATACGCGTACAAGAATTGGTAGCACTTATTTTTTCTTTGGCCCCCCTTTCTCCCATTCATAACCGGCAAAAAAACGATGAAATCTTTGTCCTTTCATTCCCCTGCTTGCGAAGGGCCAAACTTGGCCATTACAGCTTCAAAGACTTCATTTGACGGACCACGTGGCTTCGATTCCGAGGCCTGAGCCATCTTCCATACTTCATCAAAGGCTTCAGGAGGAGAGTCCTACTCTGCCGGGGTAGCAGGACCGGGGGCGGGGGAGGCGCCGCCTTCGCCCTTGAGGCCACCGCGACCACGTCCTCCACGTCCTCCGCGCTCGCCTCCTCGTCCACCTCGGCCACCACCACGGCCGCCACGACGGGTGCTCTCGGAATCACTGGCGCCACCGGCACTGCGGTAGCCGCTGCCAGTGTTTGCAGAGTTACCACCGCCTCTGCTGCTGCCCCAGTTGCCGGCACCACCGCGGGGCTGGAACTTGCTCTCGCGGTGTTGGAAAACCTTGACGAGGGGACGAGACCGGTCCTCTTGAGCCCGGGTCTTGAGGTCTTCGGGAAGGCTGTTCAGAGCAGCATCACGTTCCTCAATCGTCTTGAACATGACAACTTTGTTGGAGTTGCCCCATTTCTCGACCTTGAGGATGTTGTTCTTGTGCTCGCCGTCGAAAAGATCACGAGTCTGCTCCTCGGAGTTCACATTCATAATGAAAAGACCGACAATATCTTGAGCAGGTGTCTTGGGTGCGGGAGAAGAGACGGGGTCAGGGCCGTTGGCTGATCCGTTAGCAGGCGCAGGCGCAGGGCGCTCGTCCTTGGGAGGGACCGCAGGTGGTGCCGCAGCAGCAGGTTGAGGAGTTCCAGGCTTAGCTGATGGCAGGGGTGTTGCGACCGCAGGCTTGGGAGGTGCTTGGGATGACGGCTGTCTGCTGGTGGGCGGGGGAGCCGTAGTCTGAGTGGAAGGCGGGGCCGGGGCAGGCAGGTTGCCAGCGCCAGCAGGTCCGGCGGGAACAGGCGCAGCGGCCTTGGCACCTCTGTGTGAGAAGTTGAAGCCTTGGGCGCGCATCTCAGTTCCGATACGTCCATCCTGAATCTCAAGCACCAACCATCCGAATGCGGCATCAGCCAAGTTGAAGTTCCACATGTTCTTGAAAGCACTCTCGTCGACCTGGCCGAGTTGTGCCTGGCCGGCAACGGGACCGCCGAAGGGGTTGCCTCCCGCAGCAGTAGTGGGCATCTTCTCGACAATCTGGAGGGCGTTCTTGAGCAGGTTCTGCTGGCCCTCGTTCTGAGAGATGGCTGGCTCGACCTCGTTCTTGACCGTCTCCCAAACATCGTTGAAAGAGGCCTTGGAGGCAGCGAGCTTGCCGCGGTAGTGGTCGAGGGTGGGGTTTACGCTGAACTCGTTGTAGGAGCTGCCGTAACGGAAGTGGAGTCCAGCGGAAATGGAGAAGTCGGCCTTGAGGGTGACGGAAAGCTGGTTCAGAATACCCTCACGGGCAGGAGAGGCGTGGGTGACGAAGACGCGGGTTTCGGTTGGGTCGTAAACTCGGTGCGCAGTGTCGACAAGTTCGCCCATCTGCAACAAGGTAGTCCACATAGTTCCCTGACCTCCGGCGATCGTAGTTCTTCCTTCGCCATTGTCGAAGAGCTTGTGCATGACAACAGCACCACCAAGACCCAAGAGGCGCAGCTTGACTCCACCGAGCTCGAGAAGCATCGAGCGGGCCTCGTCGATGATGTGCAGGTTGTGTACCTTATACTCTCCGGAACGGAACTTCTCGAGAACGCGGACATCTTCGCAAGCACCCCATACAGTGTATACTGGGATATCGAGCTTGATCTCGCCGCTCAAGAGTAGAGAGAGCTCGGAGAGGGGAAGCTCGTTGGCAGGGAATCGGCTCTTGACGGGTCCGGGGCCGCCCTGCTGGATGGCCTTCTTGACGGGCTCGGAAATCAGGGGAGAGTATTGAGCAACATGCTTCAGGGTTCTTCGCACCAGTGTCAGAATGACAACGGTCGGTTATAGAGTCGCGGAGTGTTCCTTACTTTTCTGCGATTCGCTCCAGGGAGGTGTCGTCGTAGAAGCCAAAGTCGCCAGTGTGGATGATGTGATCGGCTCGTGCTTGTCTTGCCAGGTCGTTGAGGGATGTGAGGTTTCCTATCAAAGTTGATGTTAGATTCAAGCTTCATAGCCGGTCGCCCGACGGGATTTGATGGAATGGCGACGAACCTCGAACATCAGCTATGCACAGAACTCGGATGGGGCCAGTCTGGATAACGCGACCCTGGTTGGGGAGGAGAGGCGCAGCTCCAGGAGGAATCGAGGAAGCTCCGTTGGGCATGTAGCCCGGGTTGTTGTTGTATGGACGCGGCTATAGACATCGATGACATGTTAGTACTGGGGCCAGAAGCGGGACAAGGAGGAGCTGTCAAGGTCCCGCTGGAGAACAGCGAAGCATCACGGCAACGAGGACAGAGCAGAGCGGGGAGATGCGCAATGAGATACAAAACATCACGAGGTGTATGATACTGATTGGGAAGCTTGAAACGACGAGAAAAGGAGGTAACTCACGGCAGCCATGCTAGTTTGTTGTCGAGGTAATCGCGAGATGGAGATTGGGCGATTGAAAGTCGCAGGGGGGGGACGATCGGGCTCGGGGGTTCGTCGTCGGGTGAGTGACCGGGTGCTCGGTTCGGGTGGTCGTCGAGGGGAGGAATTGGGTATCAACGGAGATGGAAATGAGGTTGGAAGGAGCAGACGGTGATGTTTGCGACGAGAAAAGGAACAAGCTCCCCTTACAAGGCTGGTGATATTTTTCTGGAGGTTGAGGAAAAGTGCAAGGTGTAGGTGGAAGCAACGAACGGACGAATTGGCGCACTGCCAGAAGAGGCTGCTCTTGCCCCAAATGGTTTAGCGCGGATGCTCACAGCTGGCAGGGGCTAC